CTGGGCCGGCACCTAGCGTGCTCCTGGGTGACCGGCCGGCACCTAGCGTGCTCCTGGGTGACCAGCGGGCACCTAGCTTGTTCCTGGGTGACCGGGCCGGCAGCTAGCGTGTTCCTGGGTGACCGGGCCGGCTCCTAGCGTCCTCCTGGGTGACCGGGCTGGCACCTAGCGTGCTCCTGGGTGACCGGCGGGCACCTAGCGTGCTCCTGGGTGACTGGGCCGGTACCTAGCGTGCTCCTGGGTGACCGGCCGGCACCTAGCGTGCTCCTGGGTGACCGGCGGGCACCTAGCGTGCTCCTGGGTGACTGGGCCGGCACCTAGCGTGCTCCTGGGTGACCGGCCGGCACCTAGCGTGCTCCTGGGTGACCAGTGGGCACCTAGCGTGCTCCTGGGTGACCGGGCCGGCACCTAGCGTGTTCCTGGGTGACCGGGCCGGCTCCTAGCGTGTTCCTGGGTGACCGGGCCGGCTCCTAGCGTGTTCCTGGGTGACCGGGCTGGCACCTAGCGTGCTCCTGGGTGACCGGCCGGCACCTAGCGTGCTCCTGGGTGACCGGGCCGGCACCTAGCGTGCTCCTGGGTGACCGGGCCGGCACCTAGCGTGCTCCTGGGTGACCGGGCCGGCTCCTAGCGTGCTCCTGAGTGACCGGGCCGGCTCCTAGCGTGCTCCTGGGTGACCGGGCCGGCTCCTAGCGTGCTCCTGGGTGACCGGGCCGGCTCCTAGCGTGCTCCTGGGTGACCGGGCCGGCTCCTAGCGTGCTCCTGGGTGACCGGGCCGGCACCTAGCGTGCTCCTGAGTGACTGGGCCGGCACCTAGCGTGCTCTTGGGTGACCGGGCCGGCTCCTAGCGTGCTCCTGAGTGACCGGGCCGGCTCCTAGCGTGCTCCTGGGTGACCGGGCCGGCTCCTAGCGTGCTCCTGGGTGACCGGCCGGCACCTAGCGTGCTCCTGGGTGACCGGGCCGGCACCTAGCGTGCTCCTGGGTGACCGGGCCGGCACCTAGCGTGCTCCTGGGTGACCGGGCCGGCTCCTAGCGTGCTCTTGGGTGACCGGGCCGGCTCCTAGCGTGCTCCTGGGTGACCGGGCCGGCTCCTAGCGTGCTCTTGGGTGACCGGCCGGCACCTAGCGTGCTCCTGGGTGACCGGGCTGGCTCCTAGCGTGCTCCTGGGTGACCGGCGGGCACCTAGCGTGCTCCTGGGTGACTGGGCCGGCACCTAGCGTGCTCCTGGGTGACCAGTGGGCACCTAGCGTGCTCCTGGGTGAACGAGCCGGCACCTAGCGTGTTCCTGGGTGACCGGGCCGGCACCTAGCGTGTTCCTGGGTGACCGGGCCGGCTCCTAGCGTGTTCCTGGGTGACCGGGCCGGCTCCTAGCGTGTTCCTGGGTGACCGGGCTGGCACCTAGCGTGCTCCTGGGTGACCGGCCGGCACCTAGCGTGCTCCTGGGTGACCGGGCCGGCACCTAGCTTGTTCCTGGGTGACCGGGCCGGCAGCTAGCGTGTTCCTGGGTGACCGGGCCGGCTCCTAGCGTGCTCCTGGGTGACCGGGCCGGCTCCTAGCGTGCTCCTGGGTGACCGGGCCGGCTCCTAGCGTGCTCCTGGGTGACCGGGCCGGCTCCTAGCGTGCTCCTGGGTGACCGGGCCGGCTCCTAGCGTGCTCCTGGGTGACCGGGCCGGCACCTAGCGTGCTCCTGAGTGACCGGGCCGGCACCTAGCGTGCTCTTGGGTGACCGGGCCGGCTCCTAGCGTGCTCCTGAGTGACCGGGCTGGCTCCTAGCGTGCTCCTGGGTGACCGGGCCGGCTCCTAGCGTGCTCCTGGGTGACCGGCCGGCACCTAGCGTGCTCCTGGGTGACCGGGCCGGCACCTAGCGTGCTCCTGGGTGACCGGGCCGGCACCTAGCGTGCTCCTGGGTGACCGGGCCGGCTCCTAGCGTGCTCTTGGGTGACCGGGCCGGCTCCTAGCGTGCTCCTGAGTGACCGGGCCGGCTCCTAGCGTGCTCTTGGGTGACCGGCCGGCACCTAGCGTGCTCCTGGGTGACCGGGCCGGCACCTAGCGTGCTCCTGGGTGACCGGCCGGCACCTAGCGTGCTCCTGGGTGACCGGGCTGGCACCTAGCGTGCTCCTGGGTGACCGGGCCGGCACCTAGCGTGCTCCTGGGTGACCAGCGGGCTCCTAGCGTACTGCTGGGTGACCGGCGGGCACCTAGCGTGCTCCTGGGTGACCGGGCTGGCACTTAGCGTGCTCCTGGGTGACCGGCCGGCACCTAGCGTGCTCCTGGGTGACCGGGCTGGCACCTAGCGTGCTCCTGGGTGACCGGGCCGGCACCTAGCGTGCTCCTGGGTGACCGGGCCGGCTCCTAGCGTGCTCCTGGGTGACCGGGCCGGCACCTAGCGTGCTCCTGGGTGACCTGGCCGGCACCTAGCGTGCTCCTGGGTGACCGGGCCGGCACTTAGCGTGCTCCTGGGTGACCGGGCCGGCACCTAGCGTGCTCCTGGGTGACCGGCCGGCACCTAGCGTGCTCCTGGGTGACCGGCCGGAACCTAGCGTGCTCCTGGGTGACCGGGCCGGCACCTAGCGTGCTCCTGGGTGACCGGGGGGCACCTAGCGTGCTCCTGGGTGACCGGGGGCACCTAGCGTGCTCCTGGGTGACCGGGGGGCACCTAGCGTGCTCCTGGGTGACCGGGCCGGCACCTAGCGTGCTCCTGGGTGACCGGGCCGGCACCTAGCGTGCTCCTGGGTGACCGGGCCGGCACCTAGCGTGCTCCTGGGTGACCGGGCCGGCACCTAGCGTGCTCCTGGGTGACCGGGCCGGCACCTAGCGTGCTCCTGGGTGACCGGGCCGGCACCTAGCGTGCTCCTGGGTGACCGGGCCGGCACCTAGCGTGCTCCTGGGTGACCGGGCCGGCACCTAGCGTGCTCCTGGGTGACCGGGCCGGCACCTAGCGTGCTCCTGGGTGACCGGGCCGGCACCTAGCGTGCTCCTGGGTGACCGGGCCGGCACCTAGCGTGCTCCTGGGTGACCGGGCCGGCACCTAGCGTGCTCCTGGGTGACCGGGCCGGCACCTAGCGTGCTCCTGGGTGACCGGGCCGGCACCTAGCGTGCTCCTGGGTGACCGGGCCGGCACCTAGCGTGCTCCTGGGTGACCGGGCCGGCACCTAGCGTGCTCCTGGGTGACCGGGCCGGCACCTAGCGTGCTCCTGGGTGACCGGGCCGGCACCTAGCGTGCTCCTGGGTGACCGGGCCGGCACCTAGCGTGCTCCTGGGTGACCGGGCCGGCACCTAGCGTGCTCCTGGGTGACCGGGCCGGCACCTAGCGTGCTCCTGGGTGACCGGGCCGGCACCTAGCGTGCTCCTGGGTGACCGGGCCGGCACCTAGCGTGCTCCTGGGTGACCGGGCCGGCACGTAGCGTGCTCCTGGGTGACCGGACCGGCACGTAGCGTGCTCCTGGGTGACCGGGCCGGCACGTAGCGTGCTCCTGGGTGACCGGGCCGGCACGTAGCGTGCTCCTGGGTGACCGGGCCGGCACGTAGCGTGCTCCTGGGTGACCGGGCCGGCACGTAGCGTGCTCCTGGGTGACCGGGCCGGCACGTAGCGTGCTCCTGGGTGACCGGGCCGGCACGTAGCGTGCTCCTGGGTGACCGGGCCGGCACGTAGCGTGCTCCTGGGTGACCGGGCCGGCACGTAGCGTGCTCCTGGGTGACCGGGCCGGCACGTAGCGTGCTCCTGGGTGACCGGGCCGGCACGTAGCGTGCTCCTGGGTGACCGGGCCGGCACGTAGCGTGCTCCTGGGTGACCGGGCCGGCACGTAGCGTGCTCCTGGGTGACCGGGCCGGCACGTAGCGTGCTCCTGGGTGACCGGCCGGCACCTAGCGTGCTCCTGGGTGACCGGGCCGGCACCTAGCGTGCTCCTGGGTGACCGGGCCGGCACCTAGCGTGAGGAACATCAATAAGTTAGCAGGCAAGAGGTCAGTAAAATGTTCTGCTCAGAAGGTTCTAAAGAGAATTTGCCACAACCAGAAGAACTGTAAAGTGTATGTGTCCTCATACAGTATGTGTCGTGTATGTGTCCGCATACAGTATGTGTCCTCATACAGTATGTGTCGTGTATGTGTCCGCATACAGTATGTGTCCTCATACAGTATGTGTCTTGTATATGTCCTCATACAGTATGTGTCTTGTATGTGTCCTCATACAGTATGTGTCCTCATACAGTATGTGTCTTGTATGTGTCCTCATACAGTATGTGTCTTGTATGTGTCCTCATACAGTATGTGTTTGGTATGCGTCCTCATGCAGTATGTGTCGTGTATGTGTCCTCATACAGTATGTGTCTTGTATGTGTCCTCATACAGTATGTGTCTTGGATGTGTCCTCATACAGTATGTGTCGTGTATGTGTCCTCATACAGTATGTGTCGTGTATGTGTCCTCATACAGTATGTGTCTTGTATGTGTCCTCATACAGTATGTGTCGTGTATGCGTCCTCATACAGTATGTGTCGTGTATGTGTCCTCATACAGTATGTGTCGTGTATGTGTCCTCATACAGTATGTGTCTTGTATGTGTCCTCATACAGTATGTGTCGTGTATGCGTCCTCATACAGTATGTGTATTGTATGTGTCCTCATACAGTATGTGTCTTGGATGTTTCCTCATACAGTATGTGTCTTGGATCTGTCCTTATACAGTGTGTGTCTTTGATGTGTCCTCATACAGTATGTGTCGTGTATGTCTTCATACAGTATGTGTCGTGTATGTGTCCTCATACAGTATCTGTCTTGTATGTGTCCTCATACAGTATGTGTCTTGGATGTTTCCTCATACAGTATGTGTCTTGGATCTGTCCTTATACAGTGTGTGTCTTTGATGTGTCCTCATACAGTATGTGTCTGATGTGTCCTCATACAGTATGAGTCTTGTATGTGTCCTTATACAGTATGTGTCTTTGATGTGTCCACATACAGTATGTGTCCTCATACAGTATGTGTCATGTATTCTCCTACAGTGTGACTTTGAAAGTGTTGCAGTTCTAGCTGCTGATGTTGTCCAGAGACAGTGTTAGTTAAGGGTCGGGTTTAACCCTGAAAGGGCGCAATACATATATATATGATTTGAGTAAATGTCGCTGAACGGCGCACATCGTATATATATGATTTAAGGTAGTTTCTGGGGGGTTGTATCCCATCCTCCGCCCCAAGACCAATGTACCACAAACGACTTGCTGTAGACGGTAACAGGTTAGCATTTGAATATAATACATATGGAACCATGATAATAATTTAGACGTGTCGTCTGTCCTCCGGGCGTGTCGCCTGTCCTCCGGGCGTGTCGCCTGTCCTCCGGGCGTGTCGCCTGTCCTCCGGGCGTGTCGCCTGGCCTCCGGGCGTGTCGCCTGGCCTCCGGGCGTGTCGCCTGGCCTCCGGGCGTGTCGCCTGGCCTCCGGGCGTGTCGCCTGGCCTCCGGGCGTGTCGCCTGGCCTCCGGGCGTGTCGCCTGGCCTCCGGGCGTGTCGCCTGGCCTCCGGGCGTGTCGCCTGGCCTCCGGGCGTGTCGCCTGGCCTCCGGGCGTGTCGCCTGGCCTCCGGGCGTGTCGCCTGGCCTCCGTGTCCGTAGTTCCACTGTGGCTGATCCGGTGTTGGTCGCGATGGAACTGGGGTTCGCAGTTTTCTGCCGCTGGCGCCACTGCTCATCTCTCTCCCTCTTTGCGTAATCGTAAGCCCTTTCGTGAACCTCACCACCTTCCACTTTCGCGGAGAGACAGCTTCGCTTCCTGCAGGTCGGCGCTCGATCCCCAGCCGTCCAAGCGGTTGGGTATCATTCTTTTCCTCCTTCCAATCTTAAACCCTTATCCTCATATCTTTTCCAAGTGGCGTACAGTCGTAATGACTTCACGCTTTCTAGTGATAATTACCTGGCCTTCCCTATAATGGTCTTTTTCACCCTTTCTGAACTCCAGTTGGCCATGTCCCTATGCAGTTCCACGACGGAGGGCTCCGACGGTATTGACTCTAAGGTGCTCTGTCGTCTCTCCCCGTGCTCCTTGCAGTACTTGCTGCGTATATATAATCATATTTGGGGCCCACCTGCGGTCCCCAGTGACTGGCTCAGGCAGGTTTTTCCCCGTTAGGATTTCGCAGCCTGACGAAGTGTGGCAGCCTGACGGAGTGTGGCAGCCTGACGGAGTGTGGCAGCCTGACGGAGTGTGGCAGCCTGACGAAGTGTGGCAGCCTGACGGAGTGTGGCAGCCTGACGGAGTGTAGCAGCCTGACGGAGTGTGGCAGCCTGACGGAGTGTGGCAGCCTGACGGAGTGTGGCAGCCTGACGAAGTGTGGCAGCCTGACGGAGTATAGCAGCCTGACGAAGTGTAGCAGCCTGACGGAGTGTAGCAGCCTGACGGAGTGTAGCAGCCTGACGGAGTGTAGCAGCCTGACGGAGTGTAGCAGCCTGACGGAGTGTGGCAGCCTGACGGAGCGTGGCAGCCTGACGAAGTGTAGCAGCCTGACGGAGTGTGGCAGCCTGAGGAAGTGTGGCAGTCTGAGGAAGTGTGGCAGCCTGACGGAATGTGGCAGCCTGACGGAGTGTGGCAGCCTGACGAAGTGTAGCAGCCTGACGGAGTGTGGCAGCCTGACGGAGTGTGGCAGCCTGACGGAGTGTGGCAGCCTGACGGAGTGTGGCAGCCTGAGGAAGTGTGGCAGCCTGACGGAATGTGGCAGCTTGACGGAGTGTGGCAGCCTGACGAAGTGTAGCAGCCTGACGGAGTGTGGCAGCCTGACGAAGTGTGGCAGCCTGACGAAGTGTAGCAGCCTGACGGAGTGTGGCAGCCTGACGAAGTGTGGCAGCCTGACGAAGTGTGGCAGCCTGACGGAGTGTGGCAGCCTGACGAAGTGTAGCAGCCTGACGGAGTGTGGCAGCCTGACGAAGTGTAGCAGCCTGACGGAGTGTGGCAGCCTGACGAAGTGTGGCAGCCTGACGAAGTGTGGCAGCCTGACGAAGTGTGGCAGCCTGACGAAGTGTAGCAGCCTGACGAAGTGTGGCAGCCTGACGAAGTGTAGCAGCCTGACGGAGTGCAGCAGCCTGACGAAGTGTAGCAGCCTGACGAAGTGTGGCAGCCTGACGAAGTGTAGCAGCCTGATGAAGTGTGGCAGCCTGACGAAGTGTGGCAGCCTGACGAAGTGTAGCAGCCTGACGAAGTGTAACAGCCTGACGAAGTGTGGCAGCCTGACGAAGTGTAGCAGCCTGATGGAGTGTAGCAGCCTGACGAAGTGTGGCAGCCTGATGGAGTGTAGCAGCCTGACGAAGTGTAGCAGCCTGATGGAGTGTAGCAGCCTGACGAAGTGTGGCAGCCTGACGAAGTGTGGCAGCCTGACGAAGTGTGGCAGCCTGACGAAGTGTAGCAGCCTGACGAAGTGTAGCAGCCTGACGAAGTGTGGCAGCCTGACGAAGTGTGGCAGCCTGACGAAGTGTGGCAGCCTGACGAAGTGTAGCAGCCTGACGAAGTGTGGCAGCCTGACGAAGTGTGGCAGCCTGACGAAGTGTGGCAGCCTGACGAAGTGTGGCAGCCTGACGGAGTGTGGCAGCCTGACGAAGTGTGGCAGCCTGATGGAGTGTAGCAGCCTGACGAAGTGTAGCAGCCTGACGAAGTGTAGCAGCCTGCCGAAGTGTGGCAGCCTGATGGAGTGTAGCAGCCTGACGAAGTGTAGCAGCCTGCCGAAGTGTGGCAGACTGATGGAGTGTAGCAGCCTGACGGAGTGTGGCAGCTTGACGGACATGGTGGACTTGAGGTCTACGTCCGTGCTGTCTTTGCTGCGACTTCCTCCGTTGTGGTAGTTAGAGTTGACCTGGAGAAGACCTATGTAGATATAATGTTTTAGCACAACTGCCGTCCTTTGGCCCCATGTGGTAATCTGCCGCATGTCCTACAAGACTTCCTCTCTCGTAGATCATTTGAGGTGATGGTTGGTGCTCCGCTGCTCTCTTACACTCTCGTCCACGGTATGAAGGTGTCCACCACAGTGACGTTCTCAGCACTACTCTATTACAGGGTGACCTGAGTGGTCTCGTTTCCTCGGCCTCTCGTGGTGACGACCTCTCCCTCGACTGTCGTGGTGACGACCTCTCCCTCTACTGTCGTGGTGACGCCCTCGCCCTATGCTGTCGTGGTGACGACCTCGCCCTCTACTGTCGTGGTGACGCCCTCGCCCTCTACTGTCGTGGTGACGACCTCTCCCTCTACTGTCGTGGTGACGACCTCTCCCTCTACTGTCGTGGTGACGACCTCTCCCTCGACTGTCGTGGTGACGACCTCTCCCTCTACTGTCGTGGTGACGACCTCTCCCTCTACTGTCGTGGTGACGACCTCTCCCTCGACTGTCGTGGTGACGACCTCTCCCTCTACTGTCGTGGTGACGCCCTCGCCCTCTACTGTCGTGGTGACGACCTCTCCCTCTACTGTCGTGGTGACGACCTCTCCCTCTACTGTCGTGGTGACGACCTCTCCCTCTACTGTCGTGGTGACGACCTCTCCCTCTACTGTCGTGGTGACGACCTCTCCCTCTACTGTCGTGGTGACGACCTCTCCCTCTACTGTCGTGGTGACGACCTCTCCCTCTACTGTCGTGGTGACGACCTCTCCCTCGACTGTCGTGGTGACGACCTCTCCCTCGACTGTCGTGGTGACGACCTCTCCCTCGACTGTCGTGGTGACGACCTGTCTTCCCTCCATCGTCAGCTCCAGGTGGTGATGGACAGCGGGTCGTCCAGGGCCACGAATCACGGCTACAACTTCACACTACGACCAAGACTTGTGCTGTGACTTACCGGGAGGCCTCGTCCCCCTTGTCACCATAGTGACGCCGTCATATATAAGAATACTGCCAAGTTCTTGAGGATGATGACCCCCGTATTCCTGGGTCACCCCGTGTTGGTCACTACCAGTTGAATGTTCTTAAGGCCCTTATCTGACTTAAGGTCTTAAGTTAGATAAGGTCCTAGGTCTTATCCTTGGTCTTAATTGCCCCTCACGTCCTGGGAGTAGGGGGATGGACTCCTGATAGACTATGTGCACGACTCACTTGTGCTGTCTGAAGTCTAAGGCTACCCCGCGTGTTTCTTGGTCTGGTCTTAGACCTTCGTCACCTTGATGCTGGGCACCGTCTTGGGCCGTGTCTGTTCACCCAAATTAAGTCTCTCCACAACTACTTCATTTGAATTCATTTTCTTGTCTGATAATTTAGGGGTTAGATCTTTCTTGGTATATTATTTTTGTTAATTACTGTTTATCATACCATTTGTTGATTTGTTTCCGTGTGACAGTCATTCCTTGACCAGTTCTTGTCATCACCTCCAGCATGGTATAACACCACCAATTAGCCACGTTACAACATATTTGCTGGCAATTAACCGGTGTGGTTCCGACAAACACACACCGAAACTACGACGTTGGTACAACGTGCGAACAAGTTTTAACACCTCCTAACCAGTTATAACAACCAATATAGCAAGTTGTAACAACGTTCTAATACGTCATAAACACGTTAAGCCAAGATGTAACAACTTTATTACAAGTTGTAACAAGCGGAAAATAGAGACAGTTTTGGTTTGTGTTTCCAGGGTAGGGAGCCGGTCGGCCGAGCTGACAGCACGCGGGACTTGTGATCCTGTGGTCCCGGTTTCGATCCCGGGCGCCGGCGAGAAACAATGGGCAGAGTTTCTTTCACCCTATCCCCCTGTTACCTAGCAGTAAAATAGGTACCTGGGTGTTAGTCAGCTGTCACGGGCTGCTTCCTGGAGGTGGAGGCCTGGTCGAGGACTGGGCCGCGGGGACACTAAAGCCCCGAAATCATCTCAAGATAACCTCAAGAAGGGTTGCATACAACTCTTGCAACGCACAATAGTAAATATAGTTACACAATAGAGTAGTTAATAAACGGAATGCATTAGGCAGTGATGTGGTGGAGGCTGACTCCATACACAGTTTCAAGTGTAGATATGATAGAGCCCAGTAGGCTCAGGAACCTGTACACCAGTTGATTGACAGTTGAGAGGCGGGACCAAAGAGCCAGAGCTCAACCCCCGCAACCACAATTAGGTGAGTACACCCTGAAGTAAACCAATTACCCGCAGCCGCTCAGTAACCAGCCAAGTACAGCGACTACTGCTGCAGGAGCTCAGTAACCAGCCAAGTACAGGGACTACTGCTGCAGGAGCTCAGTAACCAGCCAAGTACAGCGACTACTGCTGCAGGAGCTCAGTAACCAGCCAAGTACAGCGACTACTGCTGCAGGAGCTCAGTAACCAGCCAAGTACAGCGACTACTGCTGCAGGAGCTCAGTAACCAGCCAAGTACAGCGACTACTGCTGCAGGAGCTCAGTAACCAGCCAAGTACAGCGACTACTGCTGCAGGAGCTCAGTAACCAGCCAAGTACAGCGACTACTGCTGCAGGAGCTCAGTAACCAGCCAAGTACAGCGACTACTGCTGCAGGAGCTCAGTAACCAGCCAAGTACAGCGTCTGTTACTGCTGCAGGAGCTCAGCATCAACTGGCAGCATTACCAAAGACAGTGGTTGCTTCGGCCTCATTAAGCGGTAGTTACCTTAAGGTTGCATGTTAACATACTCGGATCTCTCGCACAAATGTTCCTTAATTGAATGTTATTTATGACATGTGTTTGGCTAACTTTTTTGTTATTGTTGTTTATTTACGTGTTCAT